TAGTAAAATTATTTTTGAGTTCCGGTGAAACCGTAATAGGTAAAATATACGAGATATGGCGAAAACAACGAACAGATGCACAATGTACKGTATGAGTGTATGACTAATTATATTGATTTCCAATGATTATGTTTTGATTTTGAGATGATAAATTTGTCAAAAAAGGTTTTATAATCCACTTAAATTTGTATTTACTGTTAGTTTGTATATTGAAATAACCAAAATTCTAAAAGTAACGTAACTAAATACCAAACCATTAATTAATAAGAGTTATAAACACTTTATTCAGAATAATTATATGGTTTCTTTTGAGGATAATATTGTGTAACCATCGCAATAACCAGTTTGACACAAAAGGTGAAATCAGTAATTTAGTAGTAAAAATAAATTACCATATCTTAATAAATATTTAATTCAATTCTTAAATATTTAATATACATAAAGGAATGGTAAAAACTTATAATTAAACAGAACTGTTTTCAAAWTCACAATAAACCTATTTAAAAATAATATTTATACCTAGTCATAACAATATTATTAATTAGTTATATTAATTATAGTTTAGTACAATTAATTTTTTTGGATTTATATTCACTTATAAAGTTATAAGTTATAATTAGTTATATTTGCTAGGTATTATTGTATTAACCATATAAATATAAATTTATAAATTWTGTTTTAATAAACAAGACTTCTATACACAGTTTACAATCAAATACAATATTATAATGGCTTTATTTCATTTATAAAAAACAATTGTTTAAGATCATGAATATTTGCATGTTTGTTTTTGACGAAATATTTYATTGACAAAAAATAGTAAGAACATTGATGATTTAATATTTTTCATTCTTTAAAATCGATTATCCATATAGTATAGAACCATATTACTCTATTTATTTATTTATTTTTTTTTTTTTTAATCAAATTTTTGCTATTAAAATAATATGTTATTATCATAGGTACCGAATTATTTTTTTTGTTTTATTTGTATTGTATTTATGGTTCCTTCTTTTTATCTTGTAGAATTCACACCCATAATTTACGATATACCTAAATACCACTTACAATTGCACTTCAAGAATAGGAAAACAATTTTAGGAAATTGTACAATTGATAATAGGTATTATGAAAGTAAAAATCAACTTATGTCACACTGAATATTTGTAAAAGCAATTTTTATGTACCATAAAATATTCAAAATATTGCTACTYTTTTTGAGATATTTGCATAAGCAAACATCGAGTTTAAAACCTTTTTTTTTAATAATTGATGAGAACAATTTGAAAACGTAAAACAACATTCACCACAAGCTGTTTTTAGTGGAAATTAAAAAAAAATTTGCGGAAATCCACAATATTTTCYTATGAGCGTCTGAAGTTCAAATGTTGACAAAATTCATCAAAATTATGAAAATTGGCATATTATAGGGAAAATTAGAAATTCATAAGACATTTTTTACGTTCATATATTTCAGATTTAAAATTTTTACACAAGATTCCCCTTAAGTTATTCTGCATATAACAAAAATAAAGTTTCCTGGAAATTAATTTTTCAGAGAATTTAAAGTTAAATTGAGTATTTTTATTAAATTAACAAATTCTCATCAATTTTTTTTTATACAATTTACTATTKGTTATTTAAAAACTATTAACTTCAAGTACTTGAAATTTTCATAAAATGTTTATTTTATTATTTTGAAATTTTCTGTTTTGAGTTATTTATACATTGGAAATATTTAATTTTTTTAACTTGTTCTATATAATAACATAAGTATCAATAAAATTTTATTCGCTAGGTCAAAAAGCAAGGTTAACACAATAGGTTCCTTCTAAGTTGATATAATATAAGCAATTGATAAATATTAAAGATTCATAGATACGTTTTTTTTTTATCATTGTATTTAAAGTTCAAATAAAAATTATCAAAATTATCAAAATATCGGAAATATTCAAATTATTTTGTAAATTTTTTTAAATTTTTATAGCTAAGTATTGGAAATTAAAAAAAAAATCATAGATAGATGAACTGCAACAAAAAATCTAAAACAGTTATCTTTTTTTTTAATTAGGACAATATTACATATTAAAATCAAGAAAAATTATTTTGAGCATAGATGGTTTGTAATCTATTACTTCTATAGCCCATATCAAGTAAATACTTGATATTATTTGGATTAAAGAAATTTATTTGAATATTACCAAGAAACAAGAAACCACACCCAAAGGTWAACATCGAAGACTTTTTTCTTTTATGAGTTGTGGACTTACATATATGCACACAAAAAAGACATAGGTGCATCATTGTAAAATCAATACATTCATCGCTCCACCCATAAAGTATTTTKTTGTCATTCAAATAAGTTATAATAAGCTTTAAACTAGACAACGATAAAAAATTATAAAATTATAATTTTGTTTTTGTTTACCAAAATGTTGAATGGAATAATAACAATAATATAACAGTTGGTATCTGTATTTCTATAATATAAACACACTTATGTTTTACAGATATTTTATGTTTAAATTAGGAACATATTACATATTAAACCAACAAAAATGATTTTAGCTATTTTGTTGTAGTTTTTTTTTTTTTTTTAGTAAAACTAAATTTAACCTTCTGTGTTTACTGATGCCTAATAATAAAATTATTTTCTTCAATCAAAATAATATCAAAAATTTACTTAGTAAGATTAATAATATATTATAGACTGACAGATCGTTTTCGCTCAGAATCATTTTTGGTATAATATATACTCTTACAATGATTATCGAATTAAAATTTAACACATACATTACAGTAATTCTTTAGACATGATGACATCTAATGTACAACAGACCGTTAGCCACTTACCCACTTTTTAAACTTTAATGTATATACAAATATTATAGTCACAAGTCACTAAATTCTTAAAATCAGTATTATATTAAATTATAATATTCATAGTTATTTCAAAAAAATATAAAAGTAATTAAGTTTAGCTGGTATAGCACGAGTTTTTCATAGAGAAATGAATAAAAAAYATTTAACTAATTGATTTTCATATTTTTCAATAACATATTAAGAAATAGTCAATTGATACTAAAATATTGCCGATCATTTAAGTTATTCGACGAATAAAATGTTATAGATGTAATATTTAAAAAAAAATGTCATATAATATCTATAGTCGATAACCTGTAATAACCAAACAATTGGTGTACTTGTGTATTATTATAATATAAAATGTATACAATTATAAAAAATAAAACTAATTACTATGACAAACTCGAGGGCGTGAAAAAACCGACAATTTTTAAGCTAATGTTAATTCATTCTACTTTAAAACCATTAACGGTAACCAATCAGACGATTTATCTAACAAATTCAAATATGCAATATAAGAGTTTTGATTGTTATAACCTAAAGATAATTATTTAAACTTTATCAAGCATAAAACAACAAGTCAATAGACCAAAAATCCTTCCTCATTAAGAATGAAAATTAATTTGTTTTTACCAAACAATTTTGATTAACTTTTTTTATTTTATTAACATTTTTACTACTAATTAGTATACAAATATAATTTTAATTAAAACATTTTACGTTCAGCTTATTAAATTTTTAAAATTGTAAAAATTAAAAACAATTAATTAAACATTTTAATAATGTTTTTAACATGATCGAAATATTGTACTTGATCAGTTTGTGTACTGGTACAAATATTAATTTTATTTTTAGTACCTACGCAAAATCAGATTACTTATTGAATCAACAATAATGATACATTTACTACAGTGACCTCTGTCTAATCTTTTAGAAACCTGTCATTAATACGAGTATATTTTCATAATCAATTAAAATGTGTACCTCTGAAGGGTAATTTCTTGACTAGATAACAAACATCATACAATCATAAAATCTAAAAAAAATTTTCTATTTCATAATAATTTGTTCGCAGTTTAATAGATTAATAATGAATAAATATAGGTATAGGTACCAATGTTTAAAAGATTTTGGTGTTATTTAATATTTTTTAGATAATTATAAATATAATGTATACTTGTACGAGTAGGTTATACATTTTGAACTTGGTTATGGTGACAATGGATTCCTATTCATAAATCACACAATCCATTAGATATCGTATAGATCAAACTGCAGGGTTCCTCAATAATTAAAAATTAACGTTATTTTAACGGTATAACGTATAAAGCATAAAGCATGATATGATATGTAAAATATTACGTTAATAATGATTCATTTTAATACTTTGTTAGAGAGATTATAAGTTTTAAAATTAAGTAGATTATACTTTAATTATTTATAAATTTCGAAAACCATAAGTCATTTTTATAATTAATGATCATTTTTAAATAAGATTTTATTTATTTGATTATTTGCATTAGTAACTAATGAGTAATGATCTCGTCAAAAAAATTTCTTCTGAGTTGGTTTACCATAGCTTAATATGCATTCTTAATAAGTTATTAACTAATACCATAATGGGTATGATTTTAAAACCTCCATACATTTTTTTCCTTGTTTAAACGACAGCAAAGGAGGCTCTATTTTAACAATACTACACTTCTGCTGACTTATAAGTACCTACCTACTATAATAAATTTAATAGCTATAGATTTATCATGTTACAGCGACATTAAGGTTTTAAAATATAATTTTTATACTTTTTAAGATAAATTTTATACGACTGCGTTTCATTAAGACGATTAGGTACGTAGAGTAATTTATTYCATCAGACTATCACTTTAATTTGGATACAGATATTAAACATTGTAATTAAAATAAGTATAGTAGCGACTATTAACCACGATGCTATGAAAGCTTATTTATTAACTAAATAAATATTTTTTTGAAAACTAGTTTTATAATTTATTATAACATTATGACTTAAAAATACATTTGGGTGAATATAAAAAAAAAAAAAAAAAAAAAAACAATACGCATTTCAGGTCACTACTTTACTGTTAAATGACTAAGAGAATATAATACATATATACCTTGTGATGAAGTCCGTGAATTCCGAAATGCAATGTGATAAGTAATGGTGAGTTGTCTGGAGGCTGCAGATGAAACAGCCAGCGATGAATAGTGTACTCAATGAGAGGCCACAAAAGTAAGCCCAACAGAGTTGAACTTATGACCAATGTTCCTATCGAAAAATTATCTGAGGAAAAACAAAACATTAATTTATTACTCATYATGTATCTATTAAACAATTAAAATGTATTTTAAGTGATATTAGAAAAGTGTTAAAAATYGTGACACAAATAATCATAATTATATAACAAAAAACGGCCTAGACACTMAGGTTTAAATACACARTAAATGTGGGTACTAACAGTGATACATTTATGATATAATATATTAAAATGTCAACTAGCAACTCGTGATTCTATTATAGAACAATTTTGAGATAACTACAGCTTTTTACTACACACGAATCCACTCACTAAATGCAGGAGCTCCTGCAGAAAATAAATTCAGCGTGTGAAACGATAATATGCACAGAATAAAACGCAGTTTAATATCCATAATATTCAATATAATTATTTTCATTTTTTTTGTGTGTTCTAAGGAAACTATTTTGATTTTTAACAAATATTTTTGTTATTTTTAACGTTTAAAGTAGCGCCAAAATTAAGAAAACTTTTTTCAAAATACAATTTAAAAACAATATTATTTTTCTTTTTTCTTTTAATAATTATGTTTTTAATGTGTAATATGTTAAAGTTTAAATAAAATCCACTGAAGGCAATAAATAAGTAAGTTATTTCAATGGTCAACATTTTAAAGGCGTATAAAATCCTTAAGGCGATAAATACGTGTTCACACGATGAGTTTTTGTTTTTTGATTTTCATGATTTTAAAAATTATTTAGGTATTTAAAAAACAAGAATTGGTGGCGAGCGGTTTTGCCGAAATACGTCCACATAGACGAGCCACAAACCACAAGACTTTTCTTTGCTATAGACGACCAACTAAGTCGATCTAAAACATTTCTACGCAAGCATGCACCAAAATAAATTACGGAAAACAAGTATATTATGTCACACTCATGCCACGTCAAAATTTGCCTCATCTTGTCGCTCCATAATGCCAATATTAAAAAAGGCAGGCAAGTAGTTACTTAGATTCAATGTCGGAGATATCAAGGGAAACAATTTCAAACATAATAGATAACTAATAAGTAATAAACTAATTCCAGTAAAATCATGTTATAAATTATTAAAAACTTCATTATGCGGTATTGTTAGACTAATTAATTTTATTATTTATTGATTAATATAAATATATAATACAAAATAATAGGTATAGGTAGACAATGTATAAAATTAAGAGTTACTTTGATCATGAATATTATTAATACGTAACAATACATGTTCAGTGGAAATAAGTTATTCATTTTAAGTTTTATTTTAATTACCTTAAAATTATTACGAAACAATTTTGTTGAAAAGTTAATTTAAAAAAAAATATTTACCAGCATTGAATTTCAATGAAGGAAAAGCTTTTTTTAACCCCAATCATTTTTGAAATTAAGAAAATACTATAAGGTAGACACTCGGTTTTGGTTATTATTAATTGTAAATACTTAATTTAAAAAACCATTTTAAGAATTACAAAAAAAAAAAAAAAAAAACAATCGTATATATTTAGTCAACATAAATAAAATATATGTATAACAGTGTAATAAATCATTAAACTCGTAAAATGATACGAATGAGTGATGTTAGTGATGATACGGATTATTAATTGAAATTACTCAAAAGCATATTTTATGATAAATTATATTCTTAATCTCAATTATGAATAGATTTAACTGGTTTATTTTAAATAAATACCTATTTTTATTCAAGCAAATCATATTATTTTTATTMAATTATTTTATAGAACTGTTAAGTATGTTATTAATGTAGTGTTATAACCTTATAACCACCTCCATGCGATTATTCAAAACTAGATGAATAATTGTATTATTGTAAAATAATGGTTATTTTAATTATATGTTTATTGAGAATTTTTGGTTATCAGTTTACCACTAATCAGAAAATATATGTTGTTTTAAYTTTATTACGATATTATTTATATGAATATCCTAKACTTTCATCAATTAATAGTCCTAAGACCTTCACGTTTGAATACTTAAAGACAGGTACAAGCTTCGGAATTACGTATGATGATTTCATTTTTTCCCGTTACAGTTCATAAGTCATTTGAGAATGCAATACATTTGGATTGTTAATTTGGTTAATTCTTAAATTATAACTGAAAAACCGGCCATCTAGTAGATTACTAGTCATTATATCTATAATTCTGCTTTATGCTAAGTCGGTTGTCTGGTAGTGTCGAAAATAACGATAGCACAAGATTCAGAATAGGAGTATATTTTTCTTATGAGCAGAAGGGAACCTAACGTCGTACGCACATTAATTTAATTAAGAACTGTATCCCGGGAGCCGGGAGTTTCCCTTRGTTATCAAACTGAGTGTATTTCCTATTCTCCCTTGTTGAAACCTGCCTTGTAAGTACGGGTGTATATTTTAGTTTTTCCGACAAAATGTAATAATTCCCACCTATACAAGTATTATAGGTAAACTCATCTACAGACACTTTGATKGGCACATCACAAAATATGATCCATCAAGGTTTCCAGATGTCGAGATATTAAATAGAAAATTTCATTAAAAACAACAATCGAATAAAAAATTATATTTTATTTTTCCAAATTGTCAACTTGACGTAACTACATCTCGTGAAAAAAATGACAGTATTCATAACGTATAAGATGCGTATGGAAGTCGATTAAAACATATTATAGAAAAATGGAAAATGCTAAAAGTTTTACAAATACGAATAAATAATACGAGATAACAAAACACGAAGCGTTTAAATAATGACTAAAAAAAGAAGAAAAGAAAAGAAAAGAAAAAGATAAACCGTGTATATGGATATGGATTATTTTATAGGTTGATACGGGTTGTAGATATCTGACATTAACGGTAATAGTAAATGTAATTTATTTTTTACGAGAACCACATTTTCCGAGTCATTAAATGTATATTGTGTGTAGTGCAGTATATGGCGGTGGATGGGCGACGATGTGGGAAAGCGGGAAAAAAAAATCAAATTTAACGCGACCCGGAGAAATGGTCGATTTATCAATCGCGAATAATAATACTAACCCCCTCCTCCCCCCCCAACAACCGAAAACCGAAAACGACCCGATAATAACCGCGACGATAAATAACAGCACTCTGGTGCCGCGCGTGTATATTCTAATCGATGTCGTCTGGATCGGCCGCGTCGGGGTAGCTGGTAGCTCGAAGCAATAGAGCAGCAATAATACACGGCGACGATGACAAAACACGGTTCGTCTCGGCGACGGCGATCGGACATCGCTCGTCACTATACGATACTATCCGACATTATTAAACGCGCGCGCGCTCGAATTTGTATAAAACCATTATATTGTGTGTGACCGAGTGCGCGCGCGAAAATTCAACAGGGAGTCGTCAAGCTCATCGGCATAGTATAGTTATGATGTATAGTGGCGGCGGCGACAGGACACCACCGCCGTGCTTTGAAGGCGAAGGGTAGCGCGCGCGCAGCACACTCGCGCGCGGCGGCAGGTCGGCAATAATATCATAATATACATATTATACAATAATATAGGTCTGTGGAACGTCAYGCGGTGTACGCGCACTGCACGGTCACGATACACGCGTACGATGTATATRAAATATATAATAATATTATAATGACGGCGGCGTCTGCTCGGTGTGTACACATCACGCGACTAACGGCCGCCGGGAGATCGATACGGCCACTCACCGCCGCCCGCCGCCTGTTACGCGAGACGACGGTGTGTTTTCGTGCGAGCGTGATGCTTAGGGGCGCGCGCGGCTGCCGCCACCACCGCAGGGATTGCGCGCGCGACCGGCGACTTGGCGTCTGCCGCGAGCCGCCAGACCGGCGACAGGCGCCGCGCCGAGACGCCACCGCCCCCCTCCTTCCGCCACCGCCCGACCAGAAGACCGATAACCGCCGCGCAATAAACTCAGTCGCTGTCGCCGCCTACAAAGCGAAATTACTACATTATAATATTATTATATTATACACGAAATGCGGTGGTKTCGGGRAAAAATTCGCGGGGTGTGCTATGTGGGTGACGGTATATTACTATTATTATTATACACACGCGCCGAGCTCGGGTGGGCGGCGGCTGGCTCGATCGCAGCATGTTCGTCCCGTGTCCGGTGCGTATCGACGTAGACGCGGCGCGGCTAGGGATCCTGTCCCGCCCAAGTGCGCGCACGACTACGATTATTATTATGCCTCGGACGGATAAGGTCCGCCGCCGCCAGGAATGCAAAACTCGAGATAAAAGTCGGCCGCCCGACCGACCGCGCGTTCCCCGCCGGCAGAGGAGCCACGCGGCTGAACCTGTTGAGCGGATCAGAACGCGTATTCTCGTCCGCTGCAGTCGCCGCCGTTTCTCATTCGACAAGTAGTGMTCAGCGCAGTCAACGCGTGTGCGGTCAGTGTTGTGTTATAAGTTTATAATATCATTATAATAGCTCGCCGCTGATGCCACGCGGAGCACACGTTATTCCATGCCAAACCATATTACATTTACACTCTAGGTCACGCTACAACGGGGTTAGTGGAAGGTGGCAGAGATTTTATTCGTCTCGAAAACGCGGTGCTATTTGTTTTCGCCCTCATCGTACATGACCCCACATACCACTACTTCAATAATAAGCGCGACGCCTGTTATGTTAATGTTAAACATGCGTGGCATAGGAATATTGAATTAAAAATATATTAGAACCGCCAACAACGATCGGTACGACGGTGCCATTATATAATATTAAAATTTTTTATGAAATACCAGACGTGTGATCGATCCAGTGATACTCAATACTTAGCCGGTTACATTGATGAGGTATACATGTAAACCATGATAAAATAGGCATCGTAAAAATCCGGTTTTGGTTCGGGTCCGGGCACACGAACGTGCCTATACTCATGTTATGAATACATTATAGACATATTTTATTTAAATCAACTCGTATGTACGCCATGAGCAAATGCGCTGACCAAAAGATCTCTGTGGGATGTTAGCACGTTGGGCCATAACCATGTTGYTTATATCAAAGTGTAGACAACCTTATATTACTTGGTCGAAAAATAAAAC